AAAACTATAGAGTTCTCATAAGGTAGTAATTCTAATTAGTTCATAGCTGGGGGATGGCTCGGTCAGTAAGGTGCTTGCTGCACTGGCATGAGGACTTGAGCTCAGATGCCAGGACACATACAAGAAGCCAGAGCTGCAGTGTGCACCTGCAATCCCACTGCTGGGGAGCTGGAGATGGGAAGATCTCTAGAAACTGCTAGTCTACCCAAATTGGTGAGCTCCAGGTAGAATGAGAGATCCTGTCGCAAACAAAAACACAAAATAATAATAAAAATATGGTGGAGAGTGATTAACAAAGACATCAAAAGTTTATGCCTGGTCTCCACATGTACACACCACACACACACACACACACACACACACACACTACACACACACACAATTATCTCCTCAGAGTCTCCTCTAAGAGGAAATATTCTAAGCAGCAAAGATACAAATTTCTCATACTAAAGTGATTTTCCACTTCTTTTATTCCAGAAGATGCCCCGGTGAGATGAAATCCAATAGCCTCAAATGAAGGATTCAAACTAGTTAGGTGTTTGGGGAATATGCTAAGCCAAATATGGCTATCCACTTCCTCTATCATATAATCTTCACAAGAACTTTGTGAACTAGTTAAGAACTCTGGGGCTGGAGAGATGGCTCAGCGGTTAAGAGCACTGACTGCTCTTCCAGAGGTCCTGAGTTCAATTCCCAGCAACCACATGGTGGCTCAAAACCATCCGTAATGAGACCTGGTGCCCTCTTCTGGTCTGCAGATATACATGGAAACAGAATGTTGTATACATAATAAGTAAATAAAATCTTTAAAAAAAAAAAAAGAACTCTGACATCCAGCAGTGTTGTGTGACCTGCCTAAGGATAGATAACTGCTTAATATGTCTACTCTAAACTGAATGCATTGTCTACTTCCTCACAGCTTCTCCAGACACCATGGGAGCAATGAGGGTACCTGATGAATATTGGAATCATTTTAAACACTTGACTTCTAAGTACTTTAAAATAATTCTTATATTTGAGAATATATATATGTTTAAGGTATAAATCAAAAATATAAAATTAAAAGATGAAAGAAAGATAAGAGATTAGTATTGTTCAGAGAACACACAAAATTAAAATAAAAATATCCCAATAGAAGAATATACAAGGGATATAAACCTGACAATTGAAAAGGGGTTAAAAAATAAAATGCTGGGCTGGAGAGATGGCTCAGTGGTTAAGAGCACTGACAGCTCTTCAGGAGGTCCCAGGTTCAAGTCCCTGCACCTACATCACAGCTCACAACTCCAGTTTCAGGGGATCAGACAGGAAATACAAAACAACAATGCACATAAACTTAAAAGAATAGTAAATAAAATTAAAAAATAAAAACAAAATGCCAATAAAGATAGATGCTGAGTCCTAGTCATTAAAGAAAATGAAAAATAACATACAGATGACATTTCTAGCCAGTCATTTGACTTGCTTTTTCTCATTTCTGTTGTGAAATGGCATGGCCTGAAATACTAACATCAGAAATGGCAGCAGTCAGAAACCACATGGGAAGGAGTTTGTTAATATGGGTCAAAAGGCAAACCAGCAAACCCCATCAAAGAATTTTTTTTCTAAGCAAAGGAGTGGCATAACTTGCCAATGGGAACATAAATGGATCATTCTATTATTTAGTTACAGAAAGATTATTGTACTTTAAATGTTATTTTTTTTATTTTTGACAGTCTCACACTTGAACATAGTGCAATATGATCATATTCACCCCCAGGATCCTCTTTAACGCCTACCCCAAGTCCTGTGGACCCTTCTTCTCTACTATCTGCCTTCTACTTTCGTATCTTATTATTTTGGGCAGGACTTGTGCAGGCAGCCACAGCTGCTACGTGTTCATGATTTCAATGGCCATATCATATCTATCTAGTAGGCTGTTTTACATAGTGTGAGTCTGTGTGAAGTGATCTCTGTAAGAAGTGGCATTGCCTCTGCATGGCCCAGGCTGCAGCATTGCTTAGCCTCATAACAACTCTGCCAGGTAGAGTTCATGAACAGTCAGCACTTCAAGGAAATCTGATGCAGGTTGAATTCTGAGAGTTAAAAATAAACATCTTGAATCAGAAAGGACATAGAAAAAGTGGCCTGGAAATTCACACTTGCTCCTGGGCCAATTAGACCAGGTGTGCCCACACAGCTGAAATATTAGACAAACCTTGTGTGTTAAGGGAGCACAGAACGTTGTTGTGTGATATTTTAATCGCACTCTGACAATACAGTTTGCTTTGAGTCAGAGGGTGGAGCTAGCTGCTAGCTGACAAAAATTAACTATAGGGGTTTTGGAGGACTGAGGACAGTTAGGAGACAGGAAGTAGAAAGGCGGGGCTGAGAGAGGATTTCAGCTATTTTGGATGGAGGAATGGAAAATATAGAAGGTAGCTTCTCTACCATCTCTCTGATCATTCTGGTTCTTACCCTGATATCTGCCTCTCAATTTTTTATTGATAAAGAATAATTAGATAAACTATCAGAACACAGGGACCACTTTCACTCAAGGCTCTTGCCATGCTTCCTATCCCATTGGCTGACAGTTTCTAAAAAATCCCTTTGGCTGAGGAAGTGGAACAAAAGTCAGCAGGGACCTTCTGGGTCCAGAAGGATCTTTTTTGGGGATAGCTGTCTGAAGATATTTAGGCTGAGTCAGTCAGTGCTAGGCTTCTCAAAATGTCCTGCTGTTATGCTTGGGGACACAGAGTCTGAACTGCTTTCTATGTGTCTGCTAACAAAAAGATGACCATCTCAATGGACAACAATGTTCTTGTCCCCATGAGATCCCCAGCTCTTCAATTCTGTAGCCCTGTCAGTTCTCATCACTCACTGATTGACCTACAATATATTAAACATCTTTCCAAGAGGAATTAGACTCCTGTGAGTTTTTTGTTTTAGTTAATTGGCCAATAAACACCTTTGTTTTAATGTGTATCTCAGTTTACGGGCATCCAATTTAATCAATATTGTTGATGTATTCCCACTGAACTGTAACGTCTGAAGGAAGGTTATTTCTACACAAATCACACTCCAGCCTTGTTGCATTTAGCAACACTAGACAGCATTTCAATATTAGACATGGGGAGCATTTCAAATAGTGAAATCAGTAATTAAAAAGAAAACAAGAAAAAAAATGAAAAATAAACCAGATGGCACTAAATACACTACTAAAAGGCCACTTGTTTGTTCATGCTGTGAGTGCTGGGACTGAAGGAGAAGTAAAGCTTTGCCTTGCCTGACCTCAGCTGGGAATTTGCAGAAGAAAATTGACTTCTTTTCTCTCTCTGTTTATGTCTGTGAATAAGGTTATTCAGCTACCTAGCAGGCTGAAGCAGGAGGATCACATGCTCAAAAGATGCATGGGCTCACTGGGGGACTTCAAACCCTAGCTCTAACAAAGTCACACACACACACACACACACAGAGAGAGAGAGAGAGAGAGAGAGAGAGAGAGAGAGAGAGAGAGAGAGAGATTCAGTGATTTGAATCCAAGTTAGCAAGCAGATGAATTAGATGAATTTAAAAAACACAGAATCTAAAAATAATAAAAATCAAGGTCTACTTCAGAGAGTAGGTGTGGCTAACAGAAACCTGACGCCAGTAGCTGCAACTGCTCTGGGTGTGCTAGCAGACCAACAGATCTGCAGAGCCAAGGCCAGGGAACTATGTGTGATCTCCAGCGTCACCCCACTGCCTAAGGCAGTGTGCCACACTCTTACTGGGGCTCCTCCTTGCTTTCTCCTTTCTTCTACACCAATGGTTGGCAAACCTTAGCATGCATCTGGAAGGCTTGATACCACACAGATTGCTAAACCTACCCTCAGCATTTCTGTAGAAGCCCTGAAATAGTGTCCTAGATATTTCATTTCTACCAGTGATTCTGTAGCATTCATTCATGATCCAAAGACTTAACATTATTGGGTCTACATTATTGGCTCCATTTTTTAAAGGTAAAGCCCAAAGCTAAAAATAAGGAGTTGAGTAACTTCCCCAGCATTTCATGCATAGCTAGTAACTGCCTTCCAAACATGAACATGGCTGAATCATCAATCAGCTCCTACCATTTACTTTGATGTAGCTGTCATACTACCATGACATTTCAACCACAGGTTTAGTTGTAGGCTCGTCTGTTCTGATGGGTTGTATTACTGTGTGCTTGGAAACATTGGAGGACTTCTCCAAGTGAGAAAAACCCTCTACCAGATTTGCTTTTGGACAAGCAAGCCCTATAGTGCATTTTCTTGCTTGATGGTTGATATGGGAGGGCCCAGCTCACTCTGTATGGGTTGCCGCCCTTGGGCTGGTGCTCCTGGGTGCTATAAGAAAGCAGAATGAGCAGATCATGAGGATCAAGCTAGTAAGAGGCACTCTTCTACTGCCTCTGCATCAGTTCCTGCCTCAGTCTCCTGCCTAGAGTTCCTGCCCTGACTTCCCTGGGTGATAGACTGCAAGCTGTAAGATGAAATAAACCCTTTCCTTCCCAAGCTGCTTTGCATCATTGTGTTTTATAACAGCAATAGAAATCCAAGAGCTTCGCTGTGAGCTCTGTGCCATGGCAGACAGGGCTGAGAGCAGAGGGGAAAGGAGCCAGGTTCCTCCTCTCTCTGTGCTTGGGGATGCCTCATGCTTGATAACAAGTCAAGATATCTGAATACAAAGTGCCTGTCATCAGGTAAACTTAACTTACCAGGTAGATTTTGGTTTGTAGGCAATAGAAAGTCATGATTACACACCCTGGAATGAGGGTCTGATGATGGGATCTTCTGCAGTCCCTGTTTGAGCTGTGTACAATACACAGTAGGCTTCAAATGGGTGTTAGCCAATAATGTCAGCATGGGGAAGATGGCAAACTTAAGATTCACTGGGCTCTTTAGAAAAGCAATCATCGTTTAAGGAAATGTTCCCGGGATATCAGATCTAATAACTGCACTGGATCACACTTAAGAATTTTTTCCATATTTCTTTTGTAGTAGTATTCCCTATTTCTGTTTACCTACATTTGGATTCAAACACATTTTGCCATTGACTGATGATGCTGAGAGATTCAATGAAATTGTGAGGAAACAGAAGATTTCTGCTAATATTGACACACCCGAAGGTGGATTTGATGCAATTATGCAAGCTGCTGTGTGTAAGGTACGGTGTGTGTGGAGGGGGTCATAATTCCACCCTATTAACGTGGAATTTCATCTCTAATTAACAAATCTGCTTTGGGAAGCTTAGCTAATTGCTTTTCCTTTGATCACCATATTTCTCCATTGGTCCTTTTCTTAAAATATAAAACTTCCATTAAATATTTACTTTAGTCATGTTGACGTGGGAGAATTTGAATGTCTGAATTTGGATAATGAGTGTCCTAGTACAAGGAAATTTTGGTTCAAAGATCAGATTAGTTGTTTTTTAATTAACTATAGTAGAAAAATTAAAGGCAAGAACATTAATAAACATTAAAATGTCCAGTTAGTATACAGCACACTTAATTACATAACTGTTTATTTCACCTTTTTTAATGATACGGGGCCTTGAACATGCTAGGCAGGCACCATACTAACTCTACTAATGAGCTACATCCCTAACCCTTGGCTTTGAGAGGCAGAGTTTCATTACATAGCTCAAGATAAAAATCTGTTGTTTTGAACAACAGGACCCAAATCCTCCCCTTGACTATTTGAGGAGTATTAAGGAGAATGATAGCCCTGTCTAGACATTAGTCCATCATGGGCAATACCAGGAAATGTCCAGGCGGAAGCTTCTAGAAGGCAGAAGGGTCAGGAGTTAAAGGAGGAAGGGAAGGGTAATGTAGTTTAGGACAGCCAGGAGGAGTTTTTGCCCAAGGCTTCCTAGACTAATATTAGTTCTGGGAGATCGCTGCTAAGACACAGATTGCAGACAATCTCCACTAGTAGGACCCTGGGGCCATCTTCAATCAGCAGTTCTTATATTTGTGTTAGGTGTATAATTTCTCAGGTGACATCGTTAGAAATACATACCTAAATGTTGGGTGACATTTTAATGAAACAGACTTACTTTATAACCAATTTTCATTGCATTTAGCTTGAATTTAAAATGCCTGTGACCTTCCCCACTACCTCCTCTCATCTTTTTCCTGGTGAATCGAGGGCAGAAAAAGATCAATAACTAGAAGACAAGATGACCCCAACACTACTTGAAGTGGAACCATTTTTTGTAATGGAAAAAAATCTGAAAGTTGCCTAGGAAAAAGCAAATGCTACAGGATCTCATGTCTTTAATTAAGTTCACTATAGACAGAAAGGCTAGAATGAGCTATCCACACATTGCTCCGAGTCCCAATGTGAGAAGCTGCACAAGCCTCAATCCAGACCTGCCTGCCCATCTCCATACAACCTATTTCTGCCTTCTCACGCTAGGAAAAGATTGGTTGGCGCAATGACTCGCTCCACCTCCTGGTTTTCGTGAGCGATGCCGATTCTCATTTTGGAATGGACAGCAAGCTGGCAGGCATCGTCATTCCCAATGATGGGCTCTGCCACTTGGACAACAGGAATGAATACTCCATGTCAACCGTCTTGGTATGTAACCTTCACTCTCTTCAGCTTTCAGAGCCACACAAAGACCCATGTGAGGGCAACTGCTATGAAACCATAGGAAATGACTCGTTGACTTGGTGAAAGCAGTGTGTATTTTCTAACTTTAGGAGCTAGAAATTGCTTTCTTCCACCTCACCTGCATTGCAGGTTCCACATGGTAGATGGTGGGCACGTGTTGAGAGTTTAAATCTATTATGTCACAGGTGAGCCCAGAACCTCCCCAGTTTCAGAGAGATCCTGAGGCCAGCAAAACGCAACACAGATAGCTCTCTATTCTCAACCACAGTGGTCCAGGTCAGAACAGCACTGCCAAGGGCTTTGTGAGCATCATTATCCCTCAGTTGTGTCATGACGATGGTTTGGTGCTTATTAACACTTAGCTTATTTTTCTGTTGTTGAAAAATGCTAGTAACATTTAAAATAAAGAAAAGCTTGACGGTTGTCAAAGTAGGTAAAAATTTCAGAGGTTTTTGCCCCACATGGTCTCATCTGATCATGGTCTCATCTGATCTTCAGTAGGACTCTATCTAACTGTGGTTGCCATGAACAGACCATGTGGCTACCGGACTTGAAAATGTTATGCCCTGTACTCAAGAAACTAAATTGCCCTTTTAAGACCCAGAGAGCTCTCTTTGACTTCCACTATGTCCCAAAGCAGTCACTTCTCATTTTATCTTAATTCATGGATGTCTTCATGCACATCTCTATATGACAATGTGCTCACTTGCTCTGTGCTTTCCTCAGAGCCTGGGCTAGTTTGTTATCTTAGTTTCCTGACAGTTCAGTGCCTACATCACAGTGGGTGCTGACAAATGTATGAGATGGAAGGAAGAAGCATCAACCTGGGAAAGTCCTATTATGCATATTTAACACAGTAGGAAACACAACTCAAAAAGTTAAAGGACCCTTCAGATGATGATTTATAGAAGGACGAATAGGAAGGAGAGGAAATAGGGAAAAGCCTGTAATTCCAATGTCAATTGAAAAAAAAGAAAGAAGGAAAGGAAGGAAGGAAGGAAGGAAGGAAGGAAGGAAGGAAGGAAGGAAAAAGAAAAAGAAGAAGGAAATAAGCTATCAAAAGCTATTCTATACAAACTCTACTAGTTCACAAATTTAGGCCATTCTTTGACCTAACTCTGAACTTCAATCTAGAATCTCCCCTCTCTTTGAACGGTTTTATTCCTCATACATACGTGGTCTCTAATCTCAATCTTTTCATGTAAGAATCACAGTGATTATCACCAAAGTGTGTCTTTTACTCAGTGAGGTTCCAGGAAATGGGTCCTTTTGTCATTAATTTATTGAATGCCCCATATAGAATTCTTGAGAAGGAGAAGATTGTAGAATCAAACAACACCCATTACCTGACATGACCTTCTGATTTAATAAATGTTTAACTCATTATTCTAAGTAAATTTCTGCAAAGCACAGAACCACAGGCCATTCCAGTCCCCCTGAGTCCTTTGGGTATTTTTGTATGCTAAAATAACAAAGCTGGATTCCCAGGACCATCACGTAGGACCCGTTTCTGGCCTTGAGTTTTCTACAGAATTATGAGTAACAAATCTCATTAAGACATAAAACAGTAGCCTATGAGGGCTGTATGGTCTGATCCTGGCTCCACATGAAGCAGTAGACCGGTGTGCCCCTGTGGAGGTAAGAGGACACAGTGTGGCAGGGCCTTAGGCTCAAGAGCAAAGGGCACTTAAAGTTTGGGCAACTGAAAAGCAAACAATACTACATGTGTTAGAGCAAGGAAAAAGTCTATTGTCTGGTATCTCTACTAATAAAAATCCACATGGGGGGCTGGAAAGATGGCTCAGTGGTTAAGAGCACTGGCTGCTCTTCCACAGACCCAGGTTCAATTCCCAGCACCATATGGCAGCTCACAACTGTCTGTAACTCCAGGGGATCTGACACCCTCACACAGACATAAGTAAAAATAAATAAATAAAAGAAATAAAAAATAGAAAAAATAGAAAAACCAGCTGTGACAAGAAAGGCATTCACAGCCTGGGTCACAGTTGGGAATTTTCTCTGAGTAATTTAGAAAAAGGAACACCCTTTTTCTTAACTTGAACCTTGAGCCTAATGATGGCCCCAGACAGAAATATGCTGGCAGCCCTGAGAATATAAGAATGCATCACCTCAGAGAACAGCAGGCTTTGTTACTGGCACTTCTCTTGCCTTCGACAGACTGCAGTCATAACCCATATTCCTAGTTTAATCTAGCACAGGCTGTTTCTTCCTTTACATGTCCTCTTTGTGCATTATCTGCTTTTGAAATCACAAGGGAGGCAAATGTGCTTCATATATTCTAGACTTGGAAAGTAAATTCATCTGTAAATTCGATAATGAATAACTTCTTTAGTTTTTAAATTTTTTCACATTCACTTGAGAATGAACATTTCCATGACAGAAGGACAAACTATTTTCATGAATGCTGAGAGAGAAAAAAAGAGTGTAAGATCCCATACCACCAAATTATGACATTGCAAAGGTAATAAAACCATCCCTGAGAACTGGTGTGGGCCCTTCTCAAATCAGTCATAGGAATTACAGTGTGTTATTCATCAGCACTCAATTCCTTCCTCAACCTTCATGTCACCTCATCCAATTCCAGTAAGAGTTACAAGAGCCAGCTCACAGTTTACATCATACATCACAGTCTACCCATCCTGCCTCTTGGTCTAACATTCTTACCTGCTGCTGAGTGGTACTTGGGGGAGATAATATGACACATTAGAAGTCTTGAAATAAATTCCAGGGCGTCTGCTTAGGAGAGAGAGGGCATGGTGCTTCATATCTGCCAGTCTCCATTCTTAAGTCTTACCTGAGCTTATTAGATTTGGGACAATTCCTGAGCTAGGGGAAGATCACCAACAATGAGTGCTTCCTTAGAATGACCAAAAAAATGCCCATGAATATTGACTTTCTCAACTGTAAAAAGAACACTTTTAAATTTTACCTTCTTTGGTTAAGATGATATTAAGTCTATGTATCAATTTTAGGAATATCCAACAATCGGTCAACTCATTGATAAACTGGTACAAAACAACGTGCTACTGATCTTTGCTGTAACCCAAGAACAAGTCCACTTGTATGAGGTAAGCAACCAGGATTGGAGAAATCCCTTCAAGGAGGTTTATGCATCATGAAACTCTAAGGTTAACTCTGTGACTCACACTTGGAAGGGCTGCTGGATAATCATTAACACATACCAAGTAAACTGAGTGTTTGGCGAAGCTTGTTCATTTGCTGCTTAAATTTTAGATAACAAGCAAGCAGAAAGTGGGGGCACACATAGTGGAACAATAAAAAAGAATTGGAAATGAAAAAGGTAGGTGAGAAGAGAGGACCGATGAATGTGGGCGGGGTCACTTACTGCAACTAAAACAAGCATTTCCTCTGACAAGTGGTTAAGAGAGAACAGCAACATTAATAGTGTAAGGGTACTGACTAAATATTTGCAAACACAGGAAGACTCAAGCAGAGATGCAACTCAAGCTTTTGAGAAGTGGAAAGTGAAAAGACAGATAGTTCTTAATTTGGGCCAGAAAAAATCCCTTCACTCCCAATTGTAGCTGTGTTTGCAGTTCACGTGTTTGGAAGGAGGTGCCAGTGTGGAAAGGGGAAATCTTTCATTAGGTTTTCATGACGCTTGCAAGCCACCATGTAAACTGTAAAGTGCCTGTGCAAGTTTAAGATTTCTGTGGTTGCTTTACAACCCAAGCAAAGCAAAATGCCAAAATGCTGTGAATTGAGATAACAGCAAGTGGCCCCCTCAAAATACACAGTTTCATTGAAAAGCCCGGAGTGCAGAAAAATATAGACGTTAGGTTGTACTTTCTATGAGAAAGTGTCAAATACTCCTAAGCACAGACTCTGATTTCCCTTTCCTTTTGAAAGGGCCTCTTCACATGCTTGGTGACTTTGCAGGGAATACTCTGGTTTTTGTTTTGTTTGGTTTTTTTTTTTTTTTTTTTTCCCAGAAGGCTTTGATTAAATGTACTTGATACTCAGAATGGTGCAGCCACAAACTTGCATCAAGTTCTATGGAAAGGATCCAGGAGAAGATGTTATCTCAGATTTTTAATGAGAGGAGAGTATTGTACTCCAGGTGAGAGAGCCTTCTGCTGCAAACTAAGGAAGTCCATTGCAATCCAGCTCCATCGAGGCTTTTGTTTCTCGGATCACCTGATCTGGACATTTTCTTAAGGCTGCCTCATATGTGATACTGGCTTCCATTGGTTTTAAGTAGTAGAGTTGCAGTAAAAATATATTTTTAAATACCCTCAGCATGATAGTGAGTCTACCCTGCCTTTGATCTGAAGGCTAAAGTGAGAGAACCCCAGAGGTCACAGTACCTCCTCCCCAGCAGGGCTGTAGTTAGAAGCTGGAGGGGGAGCTGCCTGCAGAACTTGCCTGCAGAAGAGAGTCTGGGGAACACGATTGATGATCATGAACATAGACTCCCATAATTCATGCTGGTAATAGTCTTTAAGACCCACGGCCTGTTTAGACGCCTCCCCTAAGCCACCATTAAAAAGACAGAAGAGGATGAAAAATAACTACGTGCTGAAACAGAATCTGTTGCATTCAAGTTAGTTGCACATGGTTCCCCTGTTGCAAAAGAAATGATCATTTCCAAGGAAAACACCAGTTATAGCCTGCCTCTAATATAACAGCAGGACATTTATTTTGTCAGCCTACTAATCTCATTATGAGGAGAATTTATGTTCTGTCATGATCTGGATCTCTGCTATTCGGGTGCCACTGAATTCAAAGGGGTATTTTCAGGGAGCCACAACCCAGCAGCCAGGTCAGCAGCCTGCTCTGACTAGTGTCTCATTGTTCCATTTTCCTTCTGATGGCCCATCATGCCATCTGCAGTAGGGGCCACAAAGCAGCTTGGTCTAAAGATAATGGCAGCCAAGTGTACTTCACTGAAGGCTTCACATAGCATGCAAATGCTATCTTTTGATCTTTTTGTTTGTTTTGTTTTGTTTTTCAAGACAGGGCTTCTCTCTTTAGAGCCTGTCCTGGAACTCTCTCAGTAAACCAGGCTGGCCTTGAACTCACAGAGATCCACCCCTGGCCTCTGCCTCCTAAGTTCTTGGAGTAAGGGTATGCGCCACCAACACCCACTTTGATCTCATGCTTTATTGATAATGAAAACAGAAAATTGACCAGTAATGGCCTGTGTTGTTTTTCCACTGGAAACTCTTAGAACATGCCTTGTATGTGCTGGAGGCCCAGGCAAAGGACATGTGGGGAAGCTTCGAAATAAAGAACAAAAGCACCAAAGAATCATTGAAAAATAAGCCAGTAGTGGGATAAATTCAGTAGCCAATGGTGAGATCTAATGGAAATACCAGAAGGTAAATTATTTGCCTGAGTTATACACTAAGGATAGTTCCTTGCTGGTGCAGCCTGCAGGGGATGGATGAGGTTCAATGGTGGCTCTGTCTTGCAGCAAGTAAGATTTATGTTGCCCACTCATGGAATTCAGGAAAAACGACTGTTGTTTCAGGCAGCTGGGTAGGATGCTCTGGACTTCCCAGGTGTCGGAGGGCTGCTGTGCACTGTTATAAGGATCTGAACAAACAATGGAAGGGACTCAGTAAGCAGTTTCCTTTCCGTTCAGGATGACTGCAGTGTGCACCCCAGACTCCAGCAAACAGACAATTAGGAACAAACTTATTATTAGGAAAAGTTTCTTGTTTGTCCAATTACAGGGTCCAAAAGAAAATGATAGATAATCGGCTGAGCGCTAGGTAGTATATTACATCCTAGTACTAAATACCATTTAAAGTCAAGATTTGATTACCCAAGCTTAAAAAAAAAAAACTTTTTACACCTCGGTTTGTTTTTAAATTCTTACTCTTAAAGTCCAACTGTCTGATTTGAGGTATCCTTCCTTCCTAGTGAGATACTGAGATTAAAAACAACTAAATCAGTATTTTTACTACACTATCATATCATGTTATTCATCCCCTGATGTTATTTGCAAGGCTTTACCCTATCTATATGTTTCCTAAATGTCTCTCTGGAAAGAGACGATGTGTGGAAAGCTAGTGCTGATGGTACGACGTTGAGATGACCTATCTGCAGTAGACATCTCCAGTTCAATTACTGTCTACAGCCACCCTAACTAGTGTCCTGAGGTTACTAGGACAGAGTAATGTGTAAAACGTGAGCACAGAGGTAAGATAAGGTTCTTACCCTTTCCCTTAGAGACAAGAAGCTCTCAGCCAGTAGATCTTTGAAGGGAAAGTTCACACATCCTCCTGTTTAGGTCAAGTCTCAGTGAAGTTGTTAAATGAGTATAAAAATACAATTTTTTAAAAAATCTTTTTTTTTAATCTAAAATTGGGCCAAATGCTCTAAGTAGGGACTGGAGCTTGATATGACAAATGCATGTGAAGGTTGGGGATGTCTGGGCACATAGAGCAAGCTCAGGGACTCTGACCATCAACAGGATGTTCTGACACCTAAGCTGTCCCCTTCTCCTGCCTTCCATCCCCAACCCAGATGGCACCAGAGAGGTAAGCAGAGCCATGCTATCTGTCTTGGGACAGACATGCTGGAGAAGTTCCACAGCTTCCTTTCCTCCTGGGCTGTGGCAGGGAAGCCCCTGAGCGATTATCCACTGGCACACCTTAGATCCCATAGCAAGCCTGAAGAGCAGTGGTAACAGGCTGCAAGCTCGTGCTCTTGCTCGGTTCAGGGAAATCACCTACTGTCCATTAGTTTCCATGTTTCAGGAATCAGTAAGCCCCGTTTTCTTTCTCCCCTTCTCCCTTTGACTATTCACTGTAGCAAGAGAGGATAGGAGGTAAGGCAAACTAGAGGGAGATAAAACAAAAATTGGACCTCCTTGTTATTCATTAGTTGGTTCAATAGTTGTTTTGTTTTCTAATGTTCTTGGTGGAAAAGGTCAAAACAATTTTGTTCAATGGAAATCCCTTGATCTCTCTGGCCTCAGTATTTATAAATAAAAAGACTAGGCCTACTGACCTCCATTTTTAACAGTTGATAACCAGTGCTGGAGCTGGTCACAAATTCTGATGATTCCCCCACAGACAACAAGGTTCACCGGCTGTATTTCAGCTGATCTTAGGGCTTACTCTAAGAAGTTATTCCCTGTCCTCTCAATCTCGTGCTATAATTGGGTATTCCAAACTTGGTATTTTAATACAAATAAAATCGTCTGGGATAAAAGGCAATTTCATGATTATGTGACATTGCCATGGAGTTAATAAATTATTCTCGATTCAAGTGTAATGGGGAAGACTTTTGATTTCTCCTTAATTGATGGTATCTGGGAACAAAGCCTTAGGAGAGCCAGCTGCCTACACTTTCCTCATTAACTGAAACATCCCTCAGAGAGGGAGGATTTGGAAATAAAACTCATGCCCTCAGATTACTGGGCATTTATTGAATAAGGCTAACTAGTAAATCCCAACTATGCCCAACCATCAGTAGTCACTGTTAGCTAACTCACAAGACTTTTCTCTTAAAGAAACCAAAGGCCATGGGGTAGGGCCTGGGCCTGGCCCAGGGTGATGTGGTAGACTTTGGGGAGCCCCTTTTGGGGGCCTTACCCTGTCTGGGGAATAGAGGGGGGGATGGCTGGGGGCAGGTGGGATGTTGGGGGGGAGGGATAGGAGAGGGAGAGGGGATTGACATCTGAAGCAAGCTTGTTCCTAATTTGAACTAATAAAATAAAAAAATAAAAAAAAGAAACCAAAGGTTTGTACTCCAGAACATTAACATAGAAGAAAAGACACAGGTCTGAAATAGAGCCTTCATGAGATCCCCTGCTAAGTCTTCACATATAGGAGATCTTGTCTCTACACAGTCTAAGTGTTTGGACATTAGCATAACACCTAGAATGCCTAGTGTATCACTAGGCAATGATGCCATTGACTACATAGTCACACATTCATTCATTCATCAAATATCTCTTGAGCATCTCCTAGGAACCAGTCCAGAGTTTATGACCATAAGAATATGGTACGGTGATTGACACCCCATCTCTGTTCTCCCTCTTACTTTCTGTGAGCTGACCAGGATCCTAAACTCAGTGTCTGTCATTCTTATA